TCGGAGCCGCCCCTCCCCCCTCTGCTTTTCTGGCGGGAAAATCGCATGCGCACCTCCCGCCACGCAACTGCCGTTCGTCGTCCGCGGCCCTCCGCTGCGTCCCGAGCCTGGGTCGGGGCTCCAGGTGCGTCCTTCCCTTGGCGAGATTCCCCGGAGTGACCCTGGCAGAGCGCCCCCGAAATCCTGGCAAAGCCCCCCAAATTGTAGGAGGGGTTCCCCAGGTCAGGGCCTTACAGATCGTATTAAAAGTGCTCTTGAACTCCTGATCAGCGCTCAGAAATCCCAGAAGAAGCCCCCGGGAAGTCTTCTAGGGGACCCCGGAAGCCCCGTCCGAATCTTCCAGAAATTCGGTCCGACTGCTCCCTCAGGGCCTATCGGGCGTTCCCCGAAATCCTGTCACAAGCTCGCCAAAGCCAGGCAGAGGCCTCTGAAATTTGGGGTCTCCCGCCAAAATCCAGTTTGGGGACTCCCCATAAATCCAGAGACGCCCCAAAATTCCAGACAAGGAATCCCAAGAAATCCAGTCAGACCCCCTAGAAATCCAGTCTATGACCCTCCCGAATTCCACAGACCCCCCCCTTGAGCCAGTCCGGCCCCCCCTCCCGCCACAGCGACCCTGACGGAGTCCGCGCCCCAGCGGCCTTCCGGGGTCCCTCCGGCGTCTGTCCCGAACCCCGACAGCCCCCTACCGGGACCCTCCCCGCCAGGCCCGAGGCCGTCGCCCCCTTTGCACCCCTAGGGTGGTCCTAACCCCGGAAGGGTCTCCCAAGCCCCCTGTGTCAAGGACGTTCGAAAAGCCGCCCTGACGCGGAGTGGCGCGGGAGCGTCTAGAGCGGGGAGCCGGGTGTTGGGGGCGAGCCGGGTGTTGGAGAGAGCCAGTGAGGATTTGGGACCAGGCCCGGGTGCCGGGTCACCCGGGCCCCTCGTCTGGCCCCGGCGCTGTTAATGGCACCCCTTTTTCTCTGGAAGCCCCTGGAGCTGGGACGCTGGTCCTTTGGCCAGCCTGGTCAGAACGGAGACAGGTGGAGGCAGTGGCGTGCTGTCTAGCTGTCGGCTCCTCCGGGGAGCACAGCCCTAACTGCTGCAGCACCCCCCCCTCCGCCACCCGCAGCAGCGTGGGCGGGGCTGGGCACAGAGGAGTAGGCCCATGGGCATCCTGGATAGGGAACAGGGGGAGCCACAGACTTGGAGGGACCTAGGGGTCAGCCAGTGGAGAGAAAGTGACAGAAAGAGGCGAGGCGCTTCAGGGACCACACTCACTCCAGCCTGAGAGACCAGGACTTAGTCTAGGGGCACTAGGGAGCCATGAGAGGGCTGGGAGCCAGGGCGAGTTAGGCTCAAATTCCCACGAGAGGCCAGCAGCCAGACAGAGGCTAGTGTGGCAAGAAGGGCAGCTGCCCAGAGTCGTGTGGGGGCTCAGACCAGTCCTGCAGCCAGGCAGAGTGGTCATCAGAACTCTTTCCAGGACATGCTGCCCATGCAGCAGGCGAGGAGGGTATCCCAGGCCGAACCGCAGCCGGGAATGGCCTGCAGTTCAGAGTTGCTGGAGCATCAGTGCCATGAGAGGTGGGATTAAAGGTGGGGAGGCGGGCGGGCCAGGCAGGCCTTTGACGCCACGGCCAGGGTCCAGCCCTATTCCCCGGGTGCTGGGGAACCACGGAGGGGCACTGAGCTGAGGAGGGACAGATCATCTCTGGGGCAAGCCTGGAGTCTGGGAGGCCGGGAGGAGGCTGGGACGAGGGCCCCAGGGAGAGGAGAAGGCAGGCTCTGCTGGGAAGCCGAGGGAAGGAGAAGGAGAAGAGGGCACAGGGCAGAGTCATTGGGCAGGAGGGACAGGCTGGTGATGGGAGGAGGGACCCTCACCCACAGTCCCCTTTGATCCCATTTTACGACCACATTTCCCCAGCCCACACCTGTCCATAAAACAGGTCCCAGCAGCTGCTCAGGCCTGGGTGGGCAGCAAGCAGGTGTGAAGACCCAGAGGCTCCAGGCACAGGTGGGCAGGCCAGCCCCCCATCAGCAGCAGCTCTGAGGAAGCCATACTCCTGCTTGTCCTTCCAGGCGCCCTCACACCAGTCCCTTTCCAGTCCCTTCCGCTGAGGGAGGGAGGCTGGCTGGCGCAGCCGCTGCAGATCGCGGAGGTGGCCATGGACCTGCCCGCTGCAGAAAGTAGGTGGATGGGCCCCATTTGCCCTGAGGAGGGAGCAGAGACTGAAGACTCGGGGACTTGGGAGAGGTGGCCTGGGTGGTTGTGCAGGGTGGGAGGGAGGGCCCTGGCGGGTCAAGGACCCACCATGAGCCCGCCGGCCTGTCTGTGCCCCTTGGCTCATCTGGACCGTGAGAGCACAAGCAGGCTCGCTCCTTGCTCGTATACGTTCAGCAGTCGCCTGTGGCCCTGGGTCCCCTGCCCGGCTTCACTCGTCCTGGCCCTGGCATCTGTGTGTCTCCCCACTGGAGCATGAGCTCCACAAGGCAGCAGCGTCTGTGGAAGTCACTCTGGTGTCCCAGGCCCTAAAGTAGCGCTGTCCCGTGGAAGTGTAATACGAGCCGCATGTGTAACTTTTAATTTTTAAAAATAAACACGTGAAGCCGGGCTTGGTGGCTCAGCCTGTAATCCCGCGCCTTTGGGAGGCTGAGGTGAGTGGATTGCCTGAGCCCGCGAGCTCGAGACCCGCCTGGGCAACTTGGCGAGACCCCATCTCTACAATAAATCAAAATGAGCTGGGCGTGGTAGCGCGCGCCTGTAGTTCCAGCTACTCGGAAGGCTGAGGTGGAAGGATTGCCGGCGCCCAGCAGGCGAGGCTGCAGTGACTGGGAGTGGCCACTGCACTCCAGACTGGGTGACAGAGTGAGACTCCAACTCAAAAAAAAGAAAAGAAAAGAAACACGTGAAATGAATTATGATCATAGTTTTTTTTAGCCTTCTATATCCAAATTAGTATCCTGCCAGCATATAGCCAATATAAAAACATAGAGATCAGCTGGGCTCGGTGGCTCAGCCTGTAATCCCGTGCCTTTGGGAGCCTGAGGTGAGTAGATTGCCTGAGCCCGCGGGTTCGAGACCCTCCTGGACAGTGAGACGTCATCTCTACAATAAATCAAAAAATCAGCCGGGCATGGTAGCGCATGCCTGTAATTCCAGCTACTCGGAAGGCAGAGGCGGAAGGATCACCGGATCCCAGCAGGTTGAGGCTACGGTGACCGGGAGCGGCCACTGCACTCCAGTCTGGGCGACAGAGTGAGACTCCAACTCAAAAAAAAAAAAAAAAATAGAGATCATCTTTTTTTCACACTAAGTGCTCAAGATCTCGCATATTCTTTGCACCAGCAGAGCATCTCAGTTCCTCCCCTGCTCAAGTGCCCCAGAGCATCGTGCAGCAAGTAGTGGCCCTGTTGGGTGGAGCAGCCCCAAAGCAACACCTGACATGTAGTAGGAACTGGATTACTGTTATGGACTGAATGGATGGATGCAGAACAAATGGGTGTGAAAGCCGAATGGGTGTGAAAGCTGACATGGAGAGAAGGCGCTGGGGTTGCCTCTGAAGCTCGTCTGCTGAGTGGGAGAGCCCAGTCTGAGGGGGGACACGGGACCCCTTTCTTAGAGGTTCCCAGGCGTTCAGGCCCCAAGCCCCAGGCCTCGGGAGGCTCTCCAGATAGAAGGGTCAGAGGCAGACGCACTGTGGTGTGGAAACCAGAGGATAGACTGTCGGGTTAAGCAGCCACCGGCTAAACTCTCCTGCACCAGAAGAGGGCGTGCGGCCACCAGGAACCCAGGGGCAAGGGCCGAGCCAGCGCCGGGAGGCCGTGAAGGAAAGGGGAAAAGGAAGGAACACACCCAGGAGAGATGAAGACAGAGGAAAGGGGCGGGGGAGGGTTGGACACAAGACAGAGGGACAGCAGAGCAAGGAAAGAGAAGGCTTGGGGAACAGAGATTCACTGAGATACAGGATGGGAAACACAGATGGGGTGAGGGACATGGAGATGGAGAGGGAGGACACGGGAGAGTGACTGGGAGAAAGATGGAGAGCGAGTCAGAGAGAAAAGTAGAGAAGAGGCAGGGACAGAGACACAGAGAGACAGGAAGGAAATCTTCAGGAACAAGAGCAACATCTTCCCAAAGGGACTGCAGATCCTCAGAGCCTGCATGACCCGGAGCCAGACAGTCCTGGGTTCAACCCCCAACTCGGCTCTCCCAGGAGAGCAGCACATGGCGAAGACAGTGAGGAGGAAACCAGACTTTAGCAGAAGCCCAGGTGTCCCCTACCTGGACTCGCACTCCCCTTCCCAAGGGCCAAATCTAGGTGCATGGGTTCAAGCCAGAGAGGAACTCTACAAGGAACCCTAAAAGGAACCCTAGAAAAGTTAGAGGGATGGGAAAGGGGACTTACATGTTGAACAGGTGACCTTGGGCAAGCTCCTAATCTCTCTGTGCCTCATCTGTAAAGTGGAGCTAATAATTGCAGCTACACATAGTTCATGCGAACCACTCAGAAGAGGCCTTTAAGTGGCACCTACTGAATGCTCAATAATGTTCAATTTTATTATTAAGTCCCCACAACATGCCTCCTGCCAGATTTTATCTCATTTCCTCCCTAGGAGGGAGGTAATACCACATCCATTTTTCTTTTTCCTTTTTTTTTTTTGTTGGAGCCTCACTCCAGCGCCCAGGCTGGAGTGCAGTGGCATGCCTAAGGGCCTCCCCAGCATTGATCTGCTGGGCTCCAGCAATCCTTCCTCCTCAGTCTTCCAAATAGCCAGAACTACAGGTGCGCGCTACCATGCCTGGCTACTTTTTTATTTTTATTGTAGGGACTAGGTCTCACCATGTTGCCCACGCTGGTCTCGAGCCCGCTCAGGCAATCCTCTCATCTCAGCCTCCCAAAGTGCTGGGATTACAGGCTTGAGCCACCTCACCTGGCCCATACCCATTTTTCAGAGGAAGAAACTGAGGCTCAAGGAAGTTGAGTCATTTGCCACAGGCTGCCCCCAAGTCTGCCTGACTCTGCAGCCAGTACTCAGTGAGCTGCTTGCTCCTAGCTGTCCAAGGCCAGGACAGAGCACCTAGAAGGTCACTTCCAGCCCTGGGAAAGTGACTGGAACAGCCCAGTGACTCCTGGAGTAGAGGATCTTCTCCTATATTCTGGAGCATTTACTGAGCGCCTGCTGCACACAGGCACTGTGGCTACAGCAGTAGACAAACAAGCCCCAGGACACTGTGTGTATCTGTGTATCTGTGTGTGTGTGTGTGTGTGTGTGTGTGTGTGTGTGTGTGTGT